TATAACATCGTGATGAGCTTATATCTTTAAAAATGTCAATAGTTCACAAGATATTTGTTAAATTGCACTGTACTTTTTTAACTATTGACGTTTTTAAAGATATAAGCTCATCGCGATGTTACTCTCCTCAAGAGCTTTCATTTGAGTACCCACATGCATTTTGATATATTTTTCATATATACATATATATATAATATATATAAATATATGAAAAATTGATGTGGGTACTCAAATGAAAGGTTTTGATGAATGTAACATCGGGATGAGCTTATAGCTTTAAAAATGTCAATAGTTCACGGGATATGTACAAGGTAATTTGTTAATTACGTATCTAGAAAATTTTCGAATACAGCCTTAAAAACTTATCATAAATTGACTATTGGTAAGAATGATATGAAACCATGAAAAGCCACAAATTCAAGTCAAGACTTATCCAACTATACCAAATTTAATAATAAAAATCCATTTTGTCATATAAATACACTGGTCTCAAAATTTTGCTTATTCTCTTAATAATATAGAAAATCAGCGATCTGTTTTTGTTTTAATTAATTTATATTTATATTTTAAAATGAATACACTAGATAATGATGAGTTAATTTCAGGCTGGACTTTATGATTAGTCGTTTGTTATTAGTTATTTAAAGCAGTAATTTTTCAAGCCTATAAATAATTAAAATTAAAAAAAAAAAAAACTGAAAATAGTTTTGTGTAATTTGCAGTAAAGATTATATCTTTAATCGTAATATTTATATCTACTAAATTTACTAAAGCTAATAATTTGATTTGAACAGAAGACATGTCTATTTCCGACTTGTTTGGACTCGGATTACCCAGAGGATCGTTGATGGGCAGCCAATCGTCAATAAACTCGCCGGGATATCGACGTCACCAGCAACAGCAAACTCAAAATCATGGACAGAGTAATGTCTCACGGCCTTACAATAAATATCAGGTCAGTATTGTTATCTGTCAATTTATCTTAAGAAAAAGTATCTATGCTATTGGTTTATGCATTGTTTAAATTTTAATCCTATTTAAATAATTTATAAAATGAATTAAAAAACTTTTTGTTTACGACATTTTCTATGACAACGCTACTATATATGAAAGCAACAGTTTTCTTCATTTGTTCTCGGTACATACTAAAGAAAGACTAAAGAATGCTAATATGTAAAAGCTTACGGTCACATTGTATAAGCCTCATTTTTAGAGCGTATGTCTGGCAACCTTTTAATGCTAAACTTTTTTGCGTGTTACAATAGATTAATATAATTTAAATAAGAATAGAGACGCAGTTTTTAAAATTAAAATACTTTCTTCATTTTTTAATGATATAAATGATAATTTTATTCAAATAATTTCAATAATTTACGATCGTATTATATAAAAATTTTTTTATCGTTTTTTTTTATTTGTAAAAATAAAAAAATAAATGTGTTTAACTTTGTAAATTTTTATTTCGACTATTTTCAAGTCTTACCGTGTAAATAGATGATTGAGAAACTTGGAAGAATCGCATCTGCACGTGACGTTTCAATATAAATTCTATATACACTAGGGCTATAGGTACTTGGGATTGCCGCTGTCGATATTGTAACCCAATGCCCAATGCCAGATAGCTTATTACTTATTACTTATTACATTTAGATTCACTTATCGAATCTATATATATATGTATATAATTTTTTTTTCCACAAAAGCACAAAAATTACTAATCGAGTTCATCCAATATAATTTTTATTATTATTTTATTTATTTTTATAGTTTTTTCATTAAATTAATTTAATCTAGACAGCACTAAATTTGTCGTAAAAGAGATTAGCTCAATAAAATCCTTGGTGTAGACAAAATTATAACGATCGAATGCGTTACATACGTGAGCATTGTGTAAACATATGTATTTTTATGTCGAGAACATTTAAGTACATGACATTAGGATAGTAAAGCGAAGTACAATGGAGATTGGATAAAATAATAAATTATCGTAAAACGACACGTTAGGACGACCCGATTTTAAGAACCGAGCCAAGACTTATGTATTTTCAGGCCTGATGTGAGCCAAACATCTTTATTGCTACTCTTCGTCTTTTTTCATTTCTTCATTCTCATACAGTTATTCCTATTACTATTATTATTAGTATACAATATCAAAGGATGAGGTCTCGTGATAGTTTGTCGAATGGACATTACGCGGGATATTATCTTGGAAGTCGTCCAAAGACAGTGCTGGAAGGCTAATTCACCGACAGCAAACGCATTTAATATTATTTATTGTATTCTTTATTCGGTAGTATATGGGGCATTTCATAGTGACTGGTGGGACATTTGACTTTGGAATTCCATCAATTATAAACTATAATTATGTCACTGAAACTTATACTATAGTAAAATTTATTTTATAATATAGAAAAATAACTAATTAACAACATCCCTTTATCAAAAACCTCGATTACTTTTTAAGTTTCTCGTAATTATCATTTGACCAAGTGCGACTGATGGGACATCGAAAAATCCTTCTCTCTTACCGCGGTATACCTAAAGTCGAATTTCAATTCGACCACTAAACTTTTCAAAAATACTTCCCTCTCAATACAAAATTTATCCTACAATCATTCAATATTATTAAGAATTAGACTGATTACCTACGTAGAAATAATTAAAAAAAATTTTTTTATTGTGACTGGTGAGACAGGCATTTGTGACTGGTTAGACAAGTACAAAATGTCTACATGAAGTTGTTTATTAAAAAGACTTTTATATTATTTCAACCTTAGAAACATTATTGTTTATATATTTAACTATAAATTATTTAGGATAATTGAAAAAAACTAATTAAAAAAGGATTTAGCATGCTGACAACACGATCTTTATAAACTTAGGTCTTGATTAATAACGAACATAAACAAAATTTGTTCTTAAAAATATAATAATAAATATGTTAATTAATAACAAACATAAAATGAATTTGTTCTTAAAATTATTAAAACAACATTTGATCCGGATACAAATTAGTACGGCTGAAAAGTTACTAGGAGAGAAAAATCGATTTTCTTATTGATTAAAAAAAATTTTCTTTACAAATTAGTAAAATATAAACTTTTAATAAAAAATTATTACTAAATTAGAATGAATTAGAGAAATTTTTTAAGTTTAGTCATTTTCCCATTTCACATGGAATGCCCCATATCGACGGTCTAATTAGCAATTGGTCTAATTCCTTATTTTTTAAAGGGTGATTTTTTAACATTTTGATGTAGTAATAGTCCAATTATAAATTATTTGAATGATCTAAACCAAAACATTATATCTCCATTAAACATTAAATGGTTTTTAAAAGAGATAATAAATTTTGAACTAATTGTTTTTTCCTACAAATAAAAGATTATCTAAAATGAAGTTAGACAATTTGTTAATTAGAACGTCGATATAAAAATCTCTTGCAACATAAAAAATGTTTTTTTTTTTTTTTTTTTTATTTATTTTTTAGAACTTCGAGGAAGATCGTGGATATTTTACATCATCTCCGAGTATCGACATGCCGGGGACACCAAATTCAGTGGCAACTCCTGGGAGTCCAGGTACTCCAAGCAGTCTGTACTCGAGTGCTTACAGTTATTCAACAAGTGGTACCGGCAGTTCGCAGTTGACATCATCGCCTGCGTCAGCACGTTCGGGCTACCAGTCCTATGTCGGCTCCCCTACGTCGTCAATTAACTCGCCGCCTTACTACGGAAGACCTATTCGTGGATCTTCACCGTACAGCGACTGTAGTAGTCCTTCGATGGAGTACCCACCTGTAATCAGCTGCAATGGATCACGATCTACCTCACCGTCAGACTCAGATCTCAGCGGTATCAACAGTATGGAAGGCTCGCTGTCAGACATAATGGCTTGTTTGTCATTAAACTCACCTGTCACACACACGTGTCACTCACACGGCTCAGTTAACTCTGACTTCGCTGATATTTGTCCGAATAACCGCGCTGCTGCTCTCCAATGCATGGCGATGAAGAAGTATCTTGCTTCTACGCATCATGACCAATCGTTTCGTCATCACCACTGCTGCAATAGCAATGGCAACCACATGGCCCCCGTCAGTTCATCCGTTGGACTCAACGAGCCGTACATTTCTTTGGATCGCGCTGCCAGAATTCACCGCAGCGCTGCGTCTCTTCACAAGGCGACCCACACTTGGAGCGGCACTCTTCCTGTGCGTACGTTGAAGCCCACTGGCTTCTCATCGAAAGTCTTCCTCGGGGGGCTACCTTGGGACGTCACCGAGTCCACTTTGATCGCGACGTTCAAGCACATCGGCCCGATAAAAGTAGAGTGGCCGAAAAAAGATCATCCCAATGCACCTGACCCCAAAGGATTTGGGTACATTATTTTTGAGTCGGAGAAAGAAGTAAGAACTCTGCTGTCCTGCTGTGTCCCTTGTTTTAACAACAAGAATCGGTTACTTTATAAAGTATCCTCGAAGCGCATCAAAGGTAAAGATGTCCAGGTGATTCCGTGGGCTCTGAATGACAGCAACTACTCGAAATCGTCCTCACAGAAATTGGATCCGGGGAAAACTGTATTTGTTGGTGCACTTCATGGTATGGTAACTGCTGAAGGTCTTGCCAATATAATGAACGACTTGTTTGATGAAGTTATCTATGTTGGTAAGCATCATCTATATTATTAAGAGAATAAGAATTTATTATGATAAGTATTTAGGCTGCATTCGAAAATTATCTATCTCTAGTACATAATTGAGAAATTACCTTGAATCTTGAGAACTATTGATATTTTTAAAGATATAAGCTCATCCCGATGTTACACTCATCGAGACCTTTCATTTGAGTACCCACATCAATTTTTTATATATTTTATATATTTACATATATTATATACATAAATATGGAAAAATTTATTAAAATGCATGTGGGTACTCAAATGAAAGCTTTTGATGAGTGTAACATCGAGATGAGCTTATATCTTAGAAAGTATCAATAATTAAGAAATGACATTGTATCTTGTGAACTATTAACACTTTTAAAGATATAAGCTCACCCCGTCATTGCACTCATCGAGACCTTTCATTTGAGTACCCACATCAATTTTTCATATATTTTATATATATATTATATATATAAATATGTAAATATATATCAAAATGCATGTGGGTACTCAAATGAAAGCTCTTGACGAGTGTAACATCGGGATGAGCTTGTATCTTTAAAACCGTCAATGGTTAAGAAAGTACAGTCGAATTTAACAAAGGTCATTATTTAATAAACCAAAATTTTATTTATTTATATTTTACAAGTCCCGGCAGTCACATAGTGACTGCAAGATTGCTAGTTAGATATAAAACGGATTAGAAAAAATTTCAATTTTATTCATTAACAATACAAATAATTTTTTTGTCAATTAGGTATCGACACGGATAAACACAAGTATCCAATTGGATCAGCTCGTCTTACGTTTAGTAGCAAACGTTCGTACAGAAAAGCCGTCGCTGCAGCTTTCATTGAAATAAAGACGGCTAAATTTTCAAAAGTCGTCCAAATTGATCCGTATCTTGAAGACTCTGTTTGCTCTGTCTGTTACGTGCAACAAGGACCTTACTTCTGTCGCGAACAGGTAATAAATCTTCTAATAATTAAAAATTATACTCATTTATTTATATATTTATTTAAAATAAAATTTTGACAATTAATTTGGTTATAGGTCTGCTTCAGATACTTCTGTCGTAACTGCTGGCTCTGGCAGCACTCGATGGATCCGATGCGTTTGCACAAACCCTTGACACGCATCTCAAAGACAAATCAAGTTGTAGGACTGACTCCCGGCTTAGGAATGCTCCCAGCGTCTCGTACATCTGGTTCCGTTATTTAAATTTTTTCGTAACGAAAAAAAAAAATTGCCCTCGCCGCTAGATTCGTGTTTAATCGTTATCTAATTATAGTTAATAGTGTCCTAAACACTTTGTTCGATTATATTTTTATTTTTTTTTCTTTTTTCAACAAAGGCCTGATACCAACGTTGGTCAGCTTTAAGATGGTATCAAAAGTAATTTACCAAAAGTATTTTGGTAGATTCAACGATAGTATCTTTATAAACATAGTTATAGTTGGGCAATCGTGACGGAAAGATTTAAAACTATGATGATTAGTTTGAATCATGTTGAGTAGTTAACGTTACTATATAGTGCATTTAATTAATGCCGATCATAAAAATGTTTTATTATTTATTTACGGTTTTTAAGAGACTGGATCTCTTATCATTCGAAACTGTTTTTTTTTCTTTTTTTTTTTTTTGCGCCGCGGCAAATAAGATCACCATCCGTTTATAATTATAATGTTTAAAAATAAGTAGTAATTAATGATTAATGATAGTAATTTAATATTTAAAGGATCAGGTTTAAAAAGTATCGGTACTTAATTGATCATTGAATAATCTGGCTAATATTTGTGTACACTAAAAGTCACATTAGCAATTAGATAATGCCCATTAATAATTGTAAAGATCAAAGCCATTACGATCATGTATTTGATATAATTTTTTTTGTTCTTACGCCGTTGCGTAATAAATATTCTATAAGCGTATTAAGTATACTGATAAAAGGATTTATTTGTATGAAAAAATATTTGTTAATATTTAACAAATCATTTATTACAGACAACTTTTAAGTATTAAATAAATATTTCTTAGTGTTAAAAATGACTTGTTTGTATTTAATAAATTTGATATCTATTTATTAAATATTAATAAACATTTTTAAATACTAAGAAATATTTGTTGAGGACTAAAAAGTGGTCTCTAATAAATGATTTGTTAAATATTAACGAATATTTTTAACTATAAACAAATCCTATCAGTGTATAAGATAAAATGTAGATTTTTTAAAAGCAGATGATCTAATGGCTTAATTACTGTTATTTATTATTTTATAAGATTTGTGCCATAATTACTTGAGAAAATAATCTTTAATATTTTCGTAATTGCAATGTTATAATCTATAACCACGCCAAAGCGTTTATAGAGTGTTATTAATATTATTATTATTAATTTATTACGTTATAAGTACTTTTTTTTCAATCGGAAATAATTACCGTAGTAATTAAACCCGCGGGTGGATTTCAATCGTGATAATGTCTAATTAGTTTTACGTTTCATTTCTTAGGTATAACAAGATTGAGCCAAATATTATAGAGTTAGAGTAGTATAAATGAGTTGGTGGCTGTTGATTATCATGATAAGAATAATTGTAAAATTATGCATTGAGAAAACAGTGAGCTTGACTCGCGACTTGGCTCAGTTTCTTCATAAGTTAGATTTTTATTAACAAAATGATATTGTTTATGACAATGTTAATTACTATTTCAAATTATGTTATTATTATTATTATTTTTAACATTTTTTGTTGTTAAATTTAATTAATCTTTTGATATCAAAAGAAATAAGCGTAAAATTATTCAGGCTGAATTTAAATAAAAAAAAGAAAAAAATGTTCTTTAACTTTTGATATAATTTTGTTGATCAATAAATTAAAATCACAGTTTTGCATATATATTTTTTTTATTTTTAGTTATTATTTGTCCTTTATGTTTACTTTCCTATTTCTTTATAAATCCTCTTTCATTCATTTATTTATTTATGCTAGAAAACTTTTTATCTACGTAATATTTGTTTTAATTATAATACTACTTGAATATTTAACATTAATGCTACTGAAGCTTTAACTAATTAATAAATAAAATAAAATTAAATTAAAGCTTTTTACTTAAAAAATAAAAATATAAAACAAAGTTAAAGTCAACTTGTTGGCAGATAATTAAAAGTAGTTATAAAGTACACTAAATTTCACAGTATTAATCTTATTATTGGTATTTTAGAAAATAAAAAAAAAATAGTTAATGAGCTAGCTTTTATTGTGACGATAGGAACAAAAAAATTTTAAAATGCCTCTTTTATCCAAATCATCTGATTTAAAAATATAAATTTTAATAAGTCCGTGCCTTTTAACTTAATGATATAATGACGTGAATTTTATTATAAAAAGTTGTTAAAGGATTCAAAATGAAATTATTTTTTAATTAAAATAAATGTGATGATAATGATTGTTGGAGCGCATAATTTGAAGCTTTTAATAATTATTTCATTTGTGTTATTATTATTAAGTTATAAGTATTTTCAAACGAAAGTACATATATAATTTTATTTATTATTCATGTGCGTTTATACTAATATTATTTTACAAAGAAATTATTTTCTTAACGACTGCTCCCTTATTCAGAAGCTCGACTATTGTATTTCCTTAGCTTTAATTGATTTATAAAATACAATTGATAAAAAGCTTTGTACGCTTTGAAAACTTCAATGTAATCGTTACAATGTTTTATTCATGACAATAAATAAATGTTCTCTTAAAAGTTTAATAATTATTAATGTAATTAAAAAAAAAAAAAATCATTTTATTCCAGTAGAAAAAATACTTTAAATATTTGATATTAATCTGATACTTTAATTGGCACGTTTTATAAGTGATTGATAGAGTCCTATGAGTGATGATACAGTTCCAAGTACTCCAACTTGCCAAGTAGACAGTTTGCCGCCCCAGAGAGTACCATTAGGAAGATAACTCACTGCATAACTCATGTCTAGCAGCATACGTATACAAACTAATGTTTCATTGTACATTTTATGCCTTAAAGCTTTCTCCTCGTCTTTATTACCAGATTTGTTCTTCAAACTCATCTTTCTTTGCTTCAATAGGAGTTTATATTTTCGCAAGGACCTAGACAATTTAATATAGCAATAATATAAATTTACAGAGCTATAAAAATATTACAAATAATGATACTGAAGTTAACAGACATTCGAAATTTTTTTGCAATGAAATTATTATGAAAAAAATTCAATAAAAAAATTCCATATGTGAAAATTAAAAAAAATTTTTGGTGAAAATTTTTAGAAGCATTTTTTTATTTTTGGATTATTTTTTCATTAATTAAATTAGAACAAAAAAATATTTATTAAAAATTGCACTTACAGTTCTTAAAGTTTTTCATGAATGAAAAAAATTTTTTTTACTCTTTTGTAATAATTTCTTCAAGAAAAAAAAATTCTTAAAATTTTTATGAAAGAATTATTAAAAAAAAAAAAAACTTTTTCGTTTGTTAAAAACTTCAAAAACTATAAGTGCAATTTTTAAAAAATATTTTTTAGTTATAAATTAATGAAAATTAAGTTAGCCGACACTCAAGAATTTTTAATTTTTTTATTCATTAAAAATAAGAACTAGAAAACTAGTTTTAAAAAATTCCACGTATAATTTTAAAAATTTTCTATTTCTATATGTGAAAATTTTTGTTTTAATTTTTTAGAAATTATTTTTCAATAAAATAAATTATAAAAATTTTTAAATGTCGGCTAATTTTATTATTATAATTTTCATTTACAAACGACACATTGTAGATCTAAAGGTCCAAGAATTTACACTTACTTCATCAAAGAAATATACAGAGAGGTGATCCAGAACCACGTGGACAGAGTATCCCATTTGTCAACGTCTACACTAACCAACCGATGTTCTCCAGCCCAGCAGAGGGTCTCGATAGGAGAGTAAATTACATCCACTATAATTTCTATCATCTCCAGCCATTTGATGTATGAATCAGCTGCCTGTCACATCGAACACGTCAATTAGACATCTAAAAAAATTTAATACATCATCACGAGTCTACCGACTCATAAATAAGTATATTTATTTATTTATTTATTATAAACATAAATATTCTATGTATACTTATTTTATTACTTTGTTCGTCCAATTATATGTCAAAGCATAATTGAGTGTAGGAATGTCATCAAGTAGCCGAAGGATAACTCGGCAATTACTCATCTGGCTTCCAAATATTTTAAACTTTTTTTTATTTTCCTCAGATCGCGGGATCACTGTTGCTAATTTTGCTGCGTAAGATAATACTCTTAATAATTTATCTCTACCTTCATAACTTTCTAAATAATTCGACATTAATTCCATGTTTGTTTATTTATTTTAAAATTTTTTTCGAGGTTATGCCAACTAATTCTCTTCTTGCCTGTCATGTGACAGGTGATGACTGAAAAAAGTCAAAATATTTTTATGTTTTATTATTAATTTTTGTTTTAAAATTAATTAAAATTGAAAAGTATAATTAGAATTATATATTACCTTAATTATATTTAATATTTATTGCAGAAAATTTATTCATTTGCCAAATAACCCATAAAAAATTGGTTTATGTCATCCTCATTAATTTTATCAGCAATTATCTAAGTTGTCACACTTGAGTCATAGGAAAAAATATTCTAATTATTTTTAAAACATATTTTAAAAAAGTCTGAGTCATAAAAATTAAAATAGCAGATATTTAATAAATTTTTTTAAGAAATAAATTAGTCCAAAAAAAAAAATTAGAAAAAAAATTGACATCTAGAAATTTAAAAAAATTAAAAATGCAATTTTTTAAAAGAAATTTTTTTGTTAAATAAAATTAAAAAATTGTGAAGTGACTGGTAACTTTAATGTCGTGTCTGAGTCACTAAACGTAAAAAATAGATAATATTTATTTTCGAGGAACGTTAAAATAAAGCGAGTAAGTTTAATTTAAATTATATTAGATTTTTAACAAGCTGTAATTTTTTTAATTAATTTTTAAACTGTTTAAAAAATATGAAAATTAAGTTAGCCGACATTTAAAAGTTAGAAAAATTTTTTTTATTGAAAAAATGACTACATAAAAAAAGAAAAAAAATTTGTCATTTGTTAAAAACTTGAAAAACTGTAAGTGCAATTTTTTAAAAATATTTTTTTGTTCTAATTTAATTATTAAAAAAAAAAATCAAAAAATTGAAAACGTCGGCTAACTTTAGTATCATTAAAAAACTTTTTTAATTTTTTTTTTAATCATTACACATTTAAAATTTTTGTATTAAATAAAAAAAATGTTTGACGCGTCAGAAAAAAAAATTTAAAAATTTGGCGCGCAAAAAAAGTTATCAGTTTAGCCGCCAGAGGCGGTAGTTTCCTGATGTCGCCTTGGAGAAGCCACAGTGGTGACGTCAGACATCTAGAGGCAGAAGCGAGCGCGTTTGAAGCCGAGTAGGGCGTGATAGTGTGTGTCGTGCCGCCCGCAACTTTTAGCTGTCTTTAGTATTCTCTTAATCAGGACCTACACACAGTAAAATAATTAAATCTGGTGGAAAATCCATAAACAAACTAGCTAAAATATGCCCGAATAAAAAATAAATCACTTTAAGTACCGGTTAAAATATATACAGTGTGGTTATAATACGTGTGACAATAATGCTTGGTGTTGCGAATAACAGTGTTGTGTGATAAACGTTGTGTGTTGAGTTTAGTATATACCATGTTCCGCTGCATTCCAATCTTTAAAGGGTGTAACAGGCAGGTGGAATACGTTGACAAGCGCCACTGCTCACTGCCAAGCGTGCCCGAGGATATCCTCAGGTACTCCAGAAGTTTAGAGGAACTCCTTCTGGACGCCAATCATATCAGGGATTTACCTAAGGTACAACCAGAACACATACCAACATTCCAACTTTTTTAACCACATTATATATTTTATTTATACACACACACACACACACCTTCAACGTATACTTAAATATATCTATATATTTATATAGTATAATCACAATCACCTAGTGTAATCATGATCATCAAGGACAGTGTTAACAACTCGTTATTAATTTTGCTATCCCCTTCACCTTAACACACACTCGATTCTCCTCCAATTCCCGTAACATCATATGAGCTCGTGGATCTCCTGATGAAAATTAAGTTAGCCGACATCTAAAAAATTAAAAAAATTTTTTTTTATTTATAAAATTATTACAGAAAAATTAAAAAAAAAATTTCATTTGTAAAAAACTTTAAAAATTATAAGTGCAATTTTTAAAAAATATTTTTTAGTTCTAATTTAATAAATGAAAAATAATCAAAAAATTAAAAACGTCGGCTAACTTTAATATTATGATCTCCTGTCTAACTTGTCACGTTTCATTTTTTTTTTACCTTTGCTCATTTTCAGTCTACGAGTTTATCGTAATTTTAAAATCGTACACTTGATCCTTATCTATAATATCCTATAGATATTTTATTTACATAAATAAATAAAGTAGGTTTTTTTTTTAATATTTAAAAATTTTTAAATAAATTATTAACATTCATTTATTTATTGCAGAATTTTTTTCGACTCCAAAGGCTACGAAAACTTGGACTGAGTGACAATGAAATTCGTCGATTACCACCAGATATTCAAAACTTTGAAAACCTCGTCGAATTCGATATCTCAAGAAATGGTGAGTTTTTGAGTTTTTAATTATGAATGTTGAAAATAATTTTTCTTGTTCTTGTCTTGAAAACAATAATAATTTTTAAAGATTTCGGAATATAAATAAATCGCTCCGAACTTTTTTTTTTGTCTTTCACTCGAAATTCTCTTGTGACACATTTACTTACTATTATAATTATTATTATTATTATTGTGATCACTGTCATGCTGAATGCAAACGTAGATGAATGACAAAAGTTTAAATGGATAGTGGATTTTATTTTTGGTTGTAGACATTTTTAGAGAGAGTTTATTGAGCCCGAGTTTGAGTCGACAAACTAAAGTTGTATTATATTTATATAAATATACATATAGTGTATATATACTTCCGTTTAGTTGTGTTAGTATCGGACAATTTCATTGCACCAAGTTGACGATTATTGCGGAACGACTTTGATAATATAATGAATTGTAGCACATGGTCACGCCGGCATTGACGCGTCGACTACGAGCCCGAGCGTCACAAACTTGTTAGACATGTGGCGAGAAAGTAAAGACCTGAGGTGTATATACACACTCTTACATTATTTTACTCTACTCTACAATACAATACAATACAGAATATAATACAGTACCATACGTACTACTATATGTATTACGTGTATGTAGAATAAATGTACATATGTGCTCTGAATGTGTACATAGATTTATGTAAAGATGTCTATGTGTTTATATGTTCGAGTGTTTATTGAATTTTTTTATTATATTCTTGGCCTCTATTTATTATATTATTATATTGTATATTGTAACACAGATTATTGTTATCGATGAATTTCAGAGGTATTCCGGATAAACATAAATTATGCAACCAGTTATGAATAATATAATAAATAATAGATTGTATTGTATTGTATTGTTATAATTGCAGGTATTAATGAGTTGAGTTGAATTGAATTGAATTAAAATAACAGATCGTTGGACTGGATGTTGAATAAAGTGGCTGAAATTTTTTGTCAGAAAATTAATACCGTAACGGTAAATTTCCTGGTTTACGTTCCTCTACAGTCGGTGGTTTCTCTACAGGCATCCTTACAAAAATATATCTGTATATATATATATACAGTAACAATAATGATAAATAATGATAGAAGTAGACGAAGTAAAAGACCAAGACCAAGACGATTACACTTGATGTAAATCTCCGCGGTCTTAAGTGCCAGTAAAGCGCCGTTATACTCTCTTCACTTGCTACAATTTTACTCTTCTATTAAAACTACTGCTGAGTAACATTTAGATACCAAGTTGACTTTGAAAGATAGGTTCCCGTTTCTCTAACGATTAGATTTAAAATGTTGCTCACGATTTAAATAAATAAACCCTAAGCTTTCTGGGCAATCTGACTTGTATTTACAATAAAATTATATTTTATTTTATTGTAATTATATTGGAGAGAAATTTTTAATGATTTATCTCCAGGGGATGATTATAAATATCTATACTGGTAAAGTTTTTAATTTTGAAAATAACAAGTATTGAAACGGGATTTATTCGGTGAGATTTTTCTATTATAAAATAAAATTACAGACTTTTAGTTGCATCGTGCTCGTTGTCGAGTACTTCAACTTGATTATTTCACTTTTATTCTCCTTTTCATGACTACGACCACGACTACGACGACGCGGTACCGGAGTAGACAAGTTGTCCCAGATCACTGAGAGTGGATTTACTCAGAGCTTCTTCTTATACCTATTTTTTCTCTTTATACCTTAAGCTCATTTTTTTTTAAACCTTTTTTTATCTTTTTTATATTCTCTTTATTTCTTTCGAGTCACTTATTCGTTTTCACAAAGTCACTTTGCGGTAGAAAACCGACTCTTTATTCCGTTCCATCAGTCTTCGTAACTAAATTGAACTATTTTTTGCAATTTCAAATTTTTTACCTCAATGCTGTATTCATATTATTTTTTTCTTACACTTCCTTTGTAACAATCTTTCACATATTTGAACTCGCATGTTATGTGTATAAAATGAAAGGTGATAATTTTTTTCCGATTTATCGAGCATTACAATGACGATAATTTTATTTATTTTGTATTCAGTATTGTAAATAAAAATAATAAAAAATTAGTTATGCTAAAAAAACTTTCACTGAGACTGAGATGTTTTTACAATCGACCAACCAACTGGTATTTCCGCTTCACTCGTGTCGCATCACGATGAGTATAGTAGTTTTTTTATGCGATGAGCATACGCTATTTCTATATGCCGCAATGATGACATTATTCTTCGTCTTGTCGATTTGTCATTAACTATTTTTAAAATACAAAATAAAAAGAAAAAAAAAATATAACTATATAGATTATTAATCATCTGGGCGGAGTAAAAGCATTTTTTCATCATCTTTAAATGCCAGTCAGAAAATATTTATTAAACTGATGAGTAATTTATTCATCAAACAAGATTCTGAAGCTTTTGATTAAAAAAATATATTTTTAAATTTAATTTAAAGCTTTTAATTTTAGTCCTTAGCTAAAAAAAAAAAAAATTACTATCGTTATTTACTTCTCATCAATAAATAGAGACGGATTAACTTAAAAAAAAAAACTTTTTGTCATTAATTTTATATTAAATTTTTTTGCTCCCATCAGTTGTCAAAGTAAAGAATTATTTTTTGAGTACTCGGGTAAAAAATTATACACCACTTGCGTCAAATTCAAAGCTCCTTGTCTAACTTTTTTCATAAATGTTTTTATTTAAAAGCTCTCAAGATAGATGGTTACTTTTTCTCGCTTTACTTATATCAATAGATTAATCATTTCTCAAAATATTTTCAAACTTAGATCCAACTTTAGCCTATAAAAACAAATAAAGTAAGAAAATAAAAATAGCTTGCATGAATTGGTTCAATTTTGTAAAATTTAAAAAATATAATTTAAAAGAAAAACAATTAATATAACTAAGAAAAAAAAATGAAAGATTGCAACAATAAACTCGACATTTATAGGCTTTTTTCAATGAAAACAATTAAAAAATTTTCAATGGTACTTAAAACTATTCGGCACCTGTAAAGTGCAATAAAATAAATCAATCGTGTTTCTTTCATTACACCCAAACGTTTTTATAACCTATTAAACCAAGTCTTTAATCAAACGCCTTTTAGTTTTTAAAAATGCATCCTGATGATAAGAATAGCTTATTTTAAATATCAAACAATTACAGTTTTTTTACATAATAAAAAAGAAACATTTTATAAAAATACCTGTTCTATATAAAACATGTTTACGTATCCTACATATATTTAAAAAAAAAAAAACCAATTGTATAAAGAGTCTATTTATTTAATCGTATTTGTTTATTTATCATTCAAACATTTGTGGTAGTCATTCATCCGAAGTATAAACATCAAGTTTAAAATATGAAAAGGCCGTTTTATTTTTTATTTTCATTCAAAATATTGGGTTAATTCGCGGGTGAGTTAAACCGTGTAATAAGCGTCGTAATATCCTCGGGTACATTATACGGTAGCTAATTTTTCTTTTCATGGAGCGTAGAAATGCAGTAAAGGACTGGGTAATTGATTCAATAGCATAAAGTATTTCGTAGGTATGCGGTGCAGATAAATTAACACATTGTGGAGAACGCCACTGAGTTATTTTATTAATTACACTAGCGAGATATTATAATTCCATTTGTACTCAACTTCTGTGTGTAATTATCTTCCAGTTTTACGATTAATAGGACGAGCTAGTCTATTGTTGATAATAATTGTTAATACATTTATTGTAATTAGTCTTACAGTACTATTCATTCAATAGACAACGAGAAGTATGTTTTTTTTTTTTTTTTTTTTTTTTATTTAAAACGAGAGAATAAAAACATGAGATTTTTTATGAAACAAAGTTGTTTAAATTACTCGATACAATTACAAGTTTGTAATAAAAAAAGTTATTAACGATTGTGTGTTTTTGAATCAGTATTCATTAATTTATGCTAAAGAATAATAATTATTTTTTTTTAATTTCTGTACATTTTACGAAAAAAAATTTCTCAGATGGAAAAATTACAGATTAAAAATTATAAAATTCTTTTTAGCTTGTTAAGTTGTTATTAGAGTATTTATCATTGTAATTATATTTACATAAAATTTTATAAAAGATTTATTATGTATATTAATTAAACACAATTGAAAGTAAAAAATGTACAATCGATTAATCTTAAAAATGTTTCGCTACGAAGTCACTGAGAAAAGAGAGAAAACAAATAATTAATTAAAATAAAAATCAGGTCGTACAGCATTAATCAAGATAAATTTAACACAGTGTTGTATGCATGTGTCTACTTACATATACATATATATATATACCGCGTAGCGGTCGTTTATTGCTAGCATAACGTCAACACAAAACACATTTACTCCATATATAACGTACTAGTTATTAAATGGTAGTACAGTCTACTTTAGAGGACGATACTGAGAGCAACACAGTGCAGGATTTGTTTTTAAGTAGGCCAGCGGCGTTACATTTAACGTGACATTTAGTACACATTTAAATAATTATTATTCTCCAAAGGTCTTTCAAATTAATTTTTAAAAATAATCTTTGGTCTACAGAGTAGAAAAAAAAGGCGTCATGTGTCACCCGTTGAACTTTCAGACCTTTATTATTCATCGAACCAACGGAGAGAATATTTGAACAATTATTGAAATTTAATTAGTAGGTTAAATTGCAAACAGTAATTACGGGAAAAATAATTTAATGTAAATTTTTTAACCTAGTTTGTGACTTTTTGCTTTATAGATTTTCGATAGTTAATATTTATTTTTTAAATTTACTTTATATTCATATTTTTGCATAACTTTTGGCCGATACGGGAAATATCGTATCAGAAGAGTTTATATTTATTTTTTAAATTTAAAAATACCGAGTTTGAGATTGAGTATAGCATAAGAATGAGTATCGTTGATGTTCATGATGAGATCGAGTAAATAAAACGGGAATAATGTAATTATAGTATTAACCTCAGTATTAGCCTTGTGCAGCCTTTCATTTAACTTTTAAACTCAACGACCTCGATATTAACCCCTTAGGGATAATTGGGCGGGTGTGGTTCTGCACCTCATT